TTATTCAATTAGTCTTATTATTGATAAAATATTTAATTAAGTTTTTTAATTTAAAATACTGACAATTCTAATTTATATACAATCCAAATTATAATCAACGAATGATTAGAATTTGTAAAGTTAACTACATCAATTTCAACAAATGAAAATTCATGCTGTTATAAATTAGTTAAATTTTAAAATAATTACATTATTGTATTCATAAATTTGATAGATTAACTAAATATTTTATTAATAGAATAACTAAATTGAATAAAACAAATAATATTAGAAAAATTAATCAAACTTCAGATTTTTTTAATATATATATATATTAATATGGTGTATTATGAGTTGAATTTGTGAATATATTTGAATTTCAATGAGGAAAAAGGAAAAGGGGAATGCGAAATAAGATAGAATTTATAAATTATTGAAGAAGGTGAAGACGTGAAAATCATGGCATAGTGATTTATAAATTATTGGTGAAGGTTGAAAATGTGTTATAATTTATGGATAATATCCAAATGGACAAAAATATGGCTATCATGATAATTAATCATGCACTTTATTCAACACATACTTTACCACAATTATAATGTCAATTCACACTTTAAACTAATTTACAAATGTCATTCCACTCACACTTTTCTTTACCTCCACTTTTATAATATTTTTTTATAAAAATTTAGACAATAAATCAAGATTAATCAAAATAATAAAAATACTTAAAAATATAAATTGATGATTAATTACATTAAAATTTATAACTAAAATATAATGTATAAAGATATATTTAGAAACTAAATTCACGACTATTTTTTTTAAATTATTAATAAAAAATTAGTTATTTTTTACATGTTTTCTTGTAAAAATTTATTTAAACTTATAGAAAATTTATTTTGTACAAATTTTTATAAGAATTTATAAAAATATTCCATGAAATATAAAAAGTTCTGGTAGTAAATATATTATACAAGGACTTTTCAGTAGATAATGACTATTTATCTTTTAATTATGTACTTTAGTTACTCATATATAATTTTGAAACTTTATTTTACGTTTTTCTTCATTTTTGAAATAAATGTAATAGTACCTCTTACTCTATTTACTCAATATTTTATCATTAATGTGTTCTTTTAATTACTTTTTAAGTAAAAAGAAAACTATAATATACATGTTTTAGAACTGAACATTTTTTATTAATTAGCCATATTAAAAAGAATAAAATTAAAAGGCCTATATAAATAATTTTTTTCAACATTTTAAACAGCAATTAGAGCTGAATTTTTATGAGAAATTATAATAACACCATACGCGGTTCTTGCATCATTAACTTAATTAACATTTTATAATCACTATCTTACATAAAAAAATACTTTTTTTCACTTTTTGAGTTCCTAGTTTTTATTTTTAATTTTTTATAAATAGTCGCTTTCCATTTTGTCTATAAACTAACCCCTAAAAGATGATTTTTAAGTTATAAATTAATTATAGTTTAATTTAATTCATTCTTTTATTTTCATTTTTAAAGAAGACATTTAAAGAAAGTTTATCTACACAACCCTAATCTGATTATTGTATAGAAGAATAGAACCATTATAGCTTTTTGCCTCTCTGGTATATACAACAATAATTACAAAGTTTGAACCTAAAATTCAGTACAAATAATTCAAACCTTTTGCTATTTGGTCAATATTCACCCTTCAAGCCACCCCAGATACACGTTGCAATTTACATCCACAAAGTCATAAGGAGTGACTTTTACATAACTATATTTTTAATAATAAAAAAACGTAATTAAAGTGATGGATTATTATTTATTTATTTGATGTAAATACTAAACAAGTACAAATAATAAAAAGTTTCTTTTATATACATAATTTTGTTAAATTAAAAAAATCCAAATTGATTGATAATTAAGTAACTCTTATTGTAATGCTATAATTATAAGCATGGAAGGACAAAAGATTTATTGCGAAAGAAATATATTGAACGAGAATTGTCCCATCGATATGGTTCTGGTAGGCTATCGGATTCCGAATTTTGGTGTGCCCTACAATTATACGACGACCCAATTTTGATGAATGGAGAAATTCAACGTTTGGCTTGACGTGAAAAGGGACGGGGTTTGGCTCTAGAAAGGCGTTTTGGAAATAGTAGAGATGGAGCAGAAGAGATTCTAGGTGAGTCTAATATATTTTGAGTTAATTCAAACTGTTTGATAATTTCTAATTATCGATTGAATGAATATAATCTTAGTTTATTAGAGTTTTGACAAGAGCATCCACAAGGGACCCACATTCTTCACATTGGTCGGTTGTCATCTCCATCAAACTTCACGTCTACCTCAGTTTCTTTCCCTACAAAATCATGGCATGAAAGAAAATAAATATCTCTTTATCATATGTCTCCGCAAAAATCACATTACGATTAATGCCAAACTTTACTCACTCCCCTTCACTAATCTCTAATTTAATTTCTGAAATTTGCTACAAATAGTAACCTAGACAACAGATTTCTCCTACTAACTACGTTTACAATTTAATTAAAAATTTAGGAATAAAAATATCTCAACATATTAAAGATATGTTATTATATTTGAGAAATTATTTTTTTAAATCTTAATTTATTATAATTTTATTTTTAAAACGTGTCTTTAATAAGTTGTAAAAAAAATGATATTTATAAAATATTATTCATCTTAATTTCTAAATAATGAGATTCATGAATATATTATAATATAATCTTAATTAACTAAGATTCTAGTCTTAATCCTAAAATAAATGTTATTCAAACAAAAATATTTTAGTGTTTATGTTATTCATGATAATATAATAGTGATTAAGTATTATTTATCTTGAAACTTTAATTTATTACAAATTTATTTTAAAAAAATATCTTTATAGATTGAAAAAGAAAAATTTATATAAACTACATTATTCTAGATTTCTAAATAAATAAGAATCATAAAGATAAAAAACAAATTCAAGAATAAATTATATATATATATATATATATATATATATATATATATTTTAAAGTTAAACATTAAAAGTTAACATATGAACACTAAAGTAATCCACATATGACAAATGGAACTATGTTAACACAGTTAATCATAAATTTAATTACAAGCCTTGATCCTCCTTTATTAGTTCACATTAGACAACTAATCTGTTGCCCATGCTAGATGTGGAAAGATGTACAGACACAAAAAATGTACCTAGTATTAATAGAAGACATTAAAAGCAAACTGAAACTTGTAGGGGGGAAAAAGGCTTTGCATGCTCCAAAAGAGTACGGAGAAGTATCTTGTGGCATGCATGCAAAGTTGCAGAGAGATGCTCCCTAATAACCGGTTATAAAATCTGTTTCTGGAAGACAACATGCGTAATACTGTATTTCGAATATATAACATGGTGTGTGTTGTGTGTGTGCATAGGACATACATTTTGCTCATGATAACGATAATGGCCACCCAAAATGTTCATTATTATCTTCACCTGAAATTTGTTATTGACGTGGTTTGTTTCTTCGATAGGGTTTCCAAAATTGGTGTTTGTTTATTTATTTATTTGATAAAATTCATTTTGAAGTAAATTTTTTATGTTTGGATAATTTTACCTTGAAAGCAATTTGTTGAAAAATTTACTGTCAATTTTTATCCTGAAGCAAATTTATTTATTTTTATTCTTCTAGTCGAGTTGTTTGGAGGTAGAACAAATTTTCTTCAACTACAAAAAATCTATATCTTTAATAAAATTAGGTAGGTTAGGAGACAAAATCAATTATGATATTTCTACGTACAAATTTGATATATATTTTTAATGCATATATTATATTATTATGAGTATCCATATTTAGATTCAAATTTGTTAATTGTGTTTGGATTGTGTTGCACAGTCTTAAATCACATTGAAATATCAACTAGATTAAAGGATGTTTTTTTAGCATATGACACTCGGTGACGCGCGTTGGAGTAGAAGTTATATGTATTGCATATTCTGCATATTTTCAGAAAATGACATGAAAATTTTCACAGATTCGTCCATGGAACTTGTTACCAAACATATATACATGTAATTTTATGTAATTAAAATTGAAAAATTAACTATGGAGTTTTACACTAGATGAGAAAAAAAAAATTTGTGAGTTTCACCATTAACTTGAAATAATTTTTATTTTTGAAACATGATTTCTTTCAATATCAATTTTAACCAAAATTAATTTTACAATTATTGGCTTAAACACATTTTAGATAGGAGGTTCCATAATGACTATTAGAATGATTTGGTGGGAGCAATAATGATAATGGGCTTGGTTAAGGCGATAAGGCTTAGCGTTGAATAAGGGCAAACACAATAATTGTATATGCTTATAGAGAAAACACACATAGTTAATGCAAGCTAATGTCATTAAAGTGCAACACAGTGCAGAAAGATGTTTGTCCAATATGGTCCTGAAGAAGATAAATACACACAATTGTTATCTCCTCAAAAAGATTGTGATCAAGACTTCCCCTCTAGTTAATGTTATCAGTGTTCAGGGAGAATCATATATAATAAACACATTATTCTGATAAATAAAAAACCATAACTACTCTAAAACTACTATGGTCTTGGACAATCTTTACCAAGCCATAACGCATAACTGAGATTTATTAACTCTTTATAAATTGAAAACTTGATTATGTATCAAATATAGATGAATTAGGACTATAATATGACCTTAAACCATCTAATAATTTATGTTGAATAGAGTTTGGTGCATACCAAACTTTTCCCATATGCAAGAGGACAAAATAGATGAACAGAAATAAACCAAGATGGCCCATAAAATGTCTTCTCAGTAGCCCAGTGACGTGATCTCCATACTCCATCTTCCTCCACTCTCCTATTCCTTTCCCTTTCACCTTTCACCTCCCTCTTTCCCTGGCTTTATTTAGAAAAAACCAGCCCCAACTCCAACCCCTCCTTCTCTATCTCTTGATCCTAATTCATCATTCCACAATTTCCACAATGTCCAGCAGTGGCAGTCATGGGGCAGAAGGCTCATCAAGCAACATTCCCCTAGACTACCATCTCCAGCACCAGCATCAGCAGCAGAGTCCAGTCACTCTTAGCCGCTATGAGTCTCAGAAGAGAAGGGACTGGAACACTTTTGGACAATACTTGAAGAACCAAAGACCCCCAGTTCCTCTCTCTCAGTGCAATTGCAACCATGTGCTTGATTTCCTAAGGTATCTGGACCAGTTTGGGAAGACCAAGGTTCACCTCCAAGGGTGCATGTTCTTTGGGCAGCCTGAACCGCCTGCACCCTGCACTTGTCCTCTCAGACAAGCTTGGGGCAGCCTTGATGCCCTTATAGGCAGGCTTAGAGCTGCCTACGAGGAAAATGGAGGCTCCCCAGAAACTAACCCTTTTGCTAGTGGCTCCATCCGTGTCTACCTTAGGGAGGTCAGGGAGTGCCAAGCTAAGGCTAGAGGTATACCTTACAAGAAGAAAAAGAAGACCCCAAAAGGAAATGTTGAAGAATCGTCAACCTCCTCCATCCACTTCTCTTGAATATTCTTCCTTTGGAAGATGTGTGTTTCACCTAATATTGGTAATTATATCGTTTTGTCATCACTTACTCTTTCTATATGACAACAATAAAATTTGAATCTAAAATTTCACACAAACTATCCATGTTTTAATCACTAGACCACCAACCTGATGCTTTTTTTATTATCATCTGTTGTTGGTTAGATGTGTAAGCTAGCATCAAGTTATCGTGCTTACATATATCTCAACCCACAATATACTACAATGTTTTGAAGCATTAAATATATTTTTGTGTGTTATTAGTTAGTACTACGAGTTTGGATGTCAAGAGAAAGCTAGAAATAACTAAAACCCGTTATAGTGTGAGATTAAAATTTTAGAATTTAAATGGATCTGGGACAAAAAACTAATGCTTTATATACACAGTTTTTCTTATTCGTGAACCAGATAGCTTGCCATATACTATTGAAGTGTTGGTACATTATACTGACAAAAGTATTTCCTATGCCGTGTTCATTAGGTTGCAAAATTAGAGGCGACTGTGTGTACAGATCCGGAAAAGATTACTTAATCTCCATGTTGTCTTTGCAATAAAAACAAAGTTTTATGGCAAACCAATTGAGTTTTTTTTTTTTTTTTTTTTTTTTTTTTTTTGTTTACTTTCTCTAAATTAATTTTTCCTTTAATGATGTGAGTAAGTGAGATGTGTCGTGTGTGTGTGTATATATATATACTTTGTAAGCGACTAAGCATCAAATAAACATTTTTTTAACATATATGATAAAAGGTTCTAGGTTTCAAATAAAACATCTCGTCCAATTTTAAAACTTGCAATTTATTCTAAGAAAGACATGATTGAATGGAATCTTTCAGATAGATGTTGGAGAGACCTAATGCTTAATAAATATTGAATGTATGGTTCTTAGACTAAACATTTCCCCACCATCTTCAATTCTATAATATGTCCCACTTATATATTGTTGTATCTTTAATTTACAAGATCCTTACAAGAAGTGATTGGACATACCCTTATTCATCTTTTCTCCACTGTGTTTGTTACCATGTACCTTGATTTGATCATGTCGTCTAGTATCTGATCCTGATAGTTTTATCCATTTATCAAAAAGCTAATTAGTTTTCTAATGTATTCATGAGTACTGGTTATGTATTTTGTGAGCAAATATATTGTTGGTTAGGCGAATGCTGAAGCTTTGTGCTTCCCGTCACCTCACATGTTTTTGTCGGCTTTTATTCCTAGTGGAACTTCAATGGCAATTTGAATAGACACACGTTTGTATTCTGTATATTAAAATAGAACATGGAATGCTATTGAAGGTACAAGCTCTTGGTTTCAAGTGATTATTCTATTCAAACTTGTCAAAAATTACTGCACATGCTGATTTTTTTTAAAGATTAACTATAAATAAATCATATACACATGCATATCTAGTTTATTGAGCTTTGTAAATTTTTTGCAAGGGCTTAGCTTAATGCTTCCTCTAACACAACAAGAATGCAGAAATCATGTGTAGTTTCTGCTCAGTGGCAGCTTGTAGCAAGTTAGGGTTTTCTAGGTTGTCTTTCTGATCAAAGTATATGAAACTATTCTTGACAGCTTTTGTGGTGAGTCACAGATTTTTGGTGACACAGTAATTAACATTCACTTGTGTGCTCCTGATTCAGCTGATAAATGTGCCTGTTGGCCTGCTTCTGCTTCAGTTGGGCCAACTTTCTCTCTTTTTCTCTTTCTCTGTTCCATTTTCTTCCTTTTTTCTAGCCATGAATTACACTTTCACGTACACATGTTCATAGATTTCACGAATTATATTACACCAGCTAGCTCTATAGTCTACTTCATCAAACACATCACTGCTTAAAAATAGTGTTGTGTGTTTGAATTATTAGTTGAACACTTGAACTATTATTCAGGTAGCTGTACCATGAAAAGTTCTTATTGGATAAGTGAAGGTGTACCATGTAGAGCAATAGTCATATCCTTTTCAAACCTTTCACCTGGACGAGAACCATCCTAATGCAGCATTTTGGATATTCATGTATAAACTATGTCTAGTTTTTTGTTTTTTGTTTTTTTAACTGCAAGATAATTAAAAGAAATAAAACCTTGATGTTCATATATGCTGTAAAATTTAATAAGTTATCTACGACAGTGTAAATTATATTAATCAAATTGATTATTTAGATATTCTTAAGTTCATCTATACTTTTAAAAGTGCTAATTACTATTTGAATGCTTGGTGTCCATGCAGGATAATGTGACATATATATATATAAATTAAATTGAAGGAGTTCTTTATTTTAAGGCACGGTTCTTGGGAGGTTTGGTTTCTACATTCGGTAATTTGATGGCATATCAGTACTTTTAAATCTTTTGTTTAATTTGTTAATTACCCGAGAATTTGTAATTAAGCTCCTACCAGAACCCAAAGCTCGATCGTGACACAATCGTTGTTTATGCCTCACTTGTATCTATATATATATATATATATATATATATATATATATATATATATATATATATATATATATATATATATATATTCAAACATGTTTTGCATATTTACAGATATATTGTTCCTCCCTTTTTCATGCATCGGTTACATTAAAATGTAAGTCGTATTTCAATAAATTTGGCTTCAAATATATTATTTTTCAATTTATATATAAGATGCATACATTTTATCTGTATACTATTTACTTACTGTCATGACTGTCTTTTTGCTATCAACACAATATTATAGTATTGACATGGATTCTTGAATATTTTTCATGCTAATTTGTTGATATTTCAATATTTCCCATCAGTTTAAATATAGTAAATTATAATATACAAGTGATAAAACCTTTCTTTCATTAATTAATTTTGTAACGTTAGACTCAAATTGACTTTCTAATAAATCTTAATCAGGATTTTTTTGTTTACTTATTATGATATGCATAATTAGACTACTTATAAGTATTTAGTTTCATATTTTCTATATATAATCTTCATCCATGAGCAAATATGTTGGAGATTCTATATAATTTATTCAAATTCAAACTTTAATATAATTATATATTAAAATAGAATGACGATATGTAGAAGAAACATGACTTGTAAAATTATAACATAGTTATATAATGCTTATGGTAACTGATAAATGATAAAAGTAAATAGCAAAAGTAAATTTTAGTTTCCTAAAAGAGTTTGTAAATAAAATCCAATTCTTATACGTTCATGAAATTCATTTTTCAACTAAAGTTTTGATATAAAAACACATTTTTAAAAATAATCAAATATGCACTGATTTTGCTCTTTGAACTGATTTTAAAATTTTTTATCCAAAGTAGAATAAAGTAATGAAACTATTTAATTTTTATCCAATATAAATTCTAAGGTTTATTTTGTTTCTGGAAAACACTGTTTTTCGTTTGTGAAAAATTTGGTACAATGATTCTTCTAATCATCAATTGTTGGAAAGTGGTCGTCAAAAGCTATTCTTTTTGTTAGTAGTGTTGCTCATTTTAAAGGGATTTCTCTAAAGAAAACATTTTGCCAAACAAAAATTGTCATTTTTCTTTTTACGAAAAAAAAATAATTCTTAACTAATATGTTGAGTAGATAGACACGTTAACAGAGCTACAAATAATATTTAAATCTAATACTATAAAAGGTGATGTCTGTGTTCTGAGGATAAAATATGCATTGCATTTCCATAAAATTTTAAATATATTTTTAAAAAAGTGTATTATGATTTGTTTTCAAAATTTAAATATAGTTTTAGATTGTTCATAATGATAATAGACGAATAAAATTATAAAATGATGATTTTAACTCGTGAAATTTATAATTAAAAGTTATTTTAGTTATATATATATAAAATTAAATTTACGTAAGTTTCGTTCTGTAAGATTTTATCTATCATTCATAATAAATAAATAAAAATTAAAATATATGTTAAAATTATACCAGGATATATTTTAAAAGAATAAAAATAATATAAGAAAAATTGGAAAACATATTTAATATTTTAAAAATTTCACGTGAAAAATTAAAATTTACCCTACTTTCTATTAAAGCTAGTATTTAGCAAGGTGTAATTACTGTAAAATTTAGTTATCCAAAAAAAATTAGTATCGCCAAAGATAAAATGTTGAATTTGACTTTTATTCCTCAAAAAATGTTTATTTTAAGCATATGAAAACTTCAATAGTATTTATATGGTACTTTATCTATGGAACACTTTGGGTGAGAAATTGATTATCTAAAGTTCTAGCTGTATAATTTTTTTTTTTTTAAAGAACTTAAAACATTTAAGAATTGATTCCTGTTTTTGATTGGAATAATTTAATAAGAATATTCGCATAATTAGATAATTGGGAAAAACAAAATCTCACTTTCAAGAATGAGTCCTCATCAAATTGAATACATACGAATTAAGTAATATATTGTACGTTTTTATATAAATTTTTTATTTCTTTATATGAAATTTTAAAACTGAAGAGAAGGCAAACCCTATGTAAATATTAATACACAAACATATAAAACTTTAATTTTTTTTTAATATCTAGTCATGTCTAATGTTAATTGGATACATTTAAGAATTGATTAAAGGAATGGATGATATATTAATAAAAAAGAAAATATTATATAGATTTTATATTATTTTTTAACTTGTTATATAGATTGCTTATTATAAAATATCATTTTTGTGTCACATGATTTTAAAATTTAAATTATTTATATAAAATTGAAGTGTTAAAAACAATAATTTTTTTTTTTATGAATTCTTTAGCATTTGTATTAAATACATAGAAGAAAGAACGAACATATATTTTTATAAATATCAGCGGATATGAAATTAACAAATTCAACTATGAATTGAATTAATATTTTTATAAAATATTTTTACGAAATTGTTTGATATCATAATTTTTTATGCTAATATCATTATAATCAATTCTTAAGGTATTTTATATTTTAAAGTTTTCGTTTATTACAATTTTGTTTTTATAAATATAAA